GCGGGCCGCGAGTTTGAGACCCCTATATTAGATGTTTATTTATTAATATTCACGATTATCTCATTTTTTATAAAAAGAATGTAAATATTTATACTTTCCCACATCATTTTCGATGTATGCAGAATGTATGTGGGAACGAATTTCAAAATATCTTAATATTTCATTTTCGGTTTCGGCTTCGGACGAAATTCATTTTTAACTTTCGGCCTTTTTTCGGTTTCGGCCGAAAGTCATTTTAAATTTTCTGCCTATTTTCGGCTTCGGCTGAAATCAGAAAATTACTTTCGGTCGGTCTCTAGTAAAGCTAGCACTTGGTCATTTTTGGGACATTAAAATTGGACGAGTTGTAGTGTAATGAAGCTCATTATGTAATCATCTATCTATTGATGTTGAACATCAACCCTATGGTTGTATTCAGACATCTTTTTGTTTCGCTCAATACTTCTCAAACTCGTCTGTTAGTTTCCATGGGTCCACCGCTCTCAACCACCAAAACATTTGGTTCCTAAGGGTCAGGACATTGAACTCAAGCTTTGATCACCTCAGTTTTTTGTTCTGCTGCTCCCTAGACATCTTCAGCTTGATGACGTCCCCTTCCAGAGTTTTCCTCTCTTGCTTGGCCTTGTCCAGGTGACCCTGCTCCTCACTGAGCTCCTGTAGCAGTTGCCTCCGCTCTTCCCTCATCCTCTCCAGCTCTGCTGCTCCAAGGGAGGACACTTTAGAAAGCAGTGCTTCCTAAAACAAAGATGGAGGAAACTAGCAAGTTTAAAAATAAGTTTTACACAAACAAAAAGCTTACTTCATCTCTTATTTACATTTGTCAAAGTTTTATGTTAAAGCCATAAATAAACATGCAATGAGTTATTCCAACTTTACATCATGATCTTGTTCCAGTCTGTCTTTGTCAGCTGAAAACTTTTTACGTCTTTCTTCCAGAATTTTTTCCTTTAAATATGAGAAAAGAATAAATAATGTAGAGATTAGGAGTAGTATAGGCATCAAGATGATAGCACTATAAGAAATACAAACCCGTGCAGTATGAGGACTATAAACAAATTACAAACCGAAACAGCAGAATAATCACTACGAGAAATACCAACACAAACCGTATAACATTGTTTAGCTTCTATTATTTCTATTTATATAAGAATATTTGAAATGGTATCAAATAATTCACTGATGTTACACAAGGGCAAGTCCATGAATGAAAAAAATTACACCTTTAGATAGAAATAAAAAAAAAACAAAATATGAAAACTCTATTTCTAAATGGTGGCCCACCTGTGATTCAATAGACTTCATTGACTTCTCCACATACGCAGCTCTTCTTTCTAGGTCAGATTTCTTCTCCTTCAGCTCCTCCTCCTGAGCAATGATAACAAAAAATGAACTATGCCAAAAGTCTACATACAGGACTCCTAAAACACAAGGCACCTGGGTCAAGGTCACACAGCTAACTCTATAGTAGGATCAAGTTGGTTTGAAATTCTAAAAGTTCTGCAGCATGGTAACTCCAATAACAGTTAAGTATGCTAATTTATCAAAAATGTATGTCGGTAACCTTTCCTGAATAGGATAACTAGGTAAATTTATGGAAGTAAATCTTCACTGAAACAAACAGGGAAATATTCAACATTTTCAAGATTTGCTGATTTTGGGGGATGGGGAATGTAATTCCAATATATAAAAATAATTTTCTGTTCAGAGCCAGAACAATTCAAATCATTTATCTGAAGCAAGCAAAGAATGAAAAATCAAGAGCAAAAAACAGCTGTAACTTGTACTGACTTCATCATCCAGCTGATCCTGTAAACTTTCCTTCTTGATCTGGAAGTTTTGCTTCATCTCCTCAACCTCTCTGTCATGCTGTCGCTGCAGCTGATTCTTCTGTTGCTCTAGCTCTGTGGCCAGCTTGTCTTGTTCAGACAGTATCTATCAGTGCACACAATGGGTAGGGATGATAAGCCAATCATGACATTTTATACACTTAATAAGCCAATCTTCAAATTTGATACAGATAATTTAGTAATTATTAATATTTGATACTGACTAGCCAATGTTTACATTAGTGTTGAGTCCACCAACTCATGTGGGAGTCTGACTTTAAAATGAACATGTATCTATTGTTTCTTTACTTTCTGTAAATATATTATTTACTGTCAATTCGATTCATTTAAAAGATATGTATTTATTTAAAACTGACTGATTGCAAATATAAAATTTTTTTAAATAAAGGTACATATAAATTAAATATGTACATGTGCATTAATTTACACCATGAATGGTTGAAAAGTATTTGTGGTTATAAAAAATTAGAAATCATTTGATGAAGTTCACTACCCGTGAAAGATTTGAGATATGGCTGACTGGCAGTATTTAATAACTAGGAATGAACTTTATAAGACTGGCAGTATTTAATAACTAGGTTTGAACTTTATAAGACTGGCAGTATTTAATAACTAGGAATGAACTTTATAAGACTGGCAGTATTTAATAACTAGGAATGAACTTTATAAGACTGGCAGTATTTAATAACTAGGTTTGAACTTTATAAGACTGGTAGTATTTAATAACTGCGAATGAACTTTATAAGACTGGCAGTATTTAATAACTAGGAATGAACTTTATAAGACTGGCAGTATTTAATAACTAGGAATGAACTTTATAAGACTGGCAGTATTTAATAACTAGGAATGAACTTTATAAGACTGGCAGTATTTAGTAGACTAGGAGCCAGAATACATTGATCATTAGCCCTCAAAATATAGAAGAAGATGAGGCATAAAGTTAACTGGTAGTATTAATAACTAGGATAACTAGGTATGAACTTATAAGAAATGAAACGTATGCTAACTTTAACTTTAAATTCCTCTTTAAGTTTGCGCAACTGTTCCTCGTGTTCCCTGCGCAGGGCTGTAAGCTGCGCCTGATGTTCTTGTTTTAGTTCAGCCCTGCGTTCACTCAGAATATCATCCAGCTGAAAGATGACAAGAAATGTTCATAATTTAATGTCAGGAATAAAAAGAAATATTGGTAATTTACAATATATTTTTACTACAATAAAAAAGTATCTTTAATTGAGCTTTCCATTTCGTCTCTAGTATGTTCACTTTCATTATAAATAATTTTATCTGTCTTAGTTTTTTTATCTAAATATTTTACAACATCTTTGTATGCAAGAACATTTGTGGAAATGTGACAATGAAGTTTTTAACACAATAAGTTACATTTTGACAGGCTCTGATACACATACATACTATTCCACAAAACTAAAACAGCTTATGTAGGACACACATTTTTATAATCACCAGATGTAACAATCTGACAATCTAAGAATCAACTCTTCTAATATTAACTCTGATCCACTATTTACAATAAAACACCCCAGACATTCATATATGCTTAAAAAAAAATGATAGGGGTGATAAATACTTTAATCTATTTCTTTTTTTTTTTTAAATTAACTTCTCAATAAACAAAACAGGTCCCCATCTCAATCAACAAATCAGGTCCCCATCTCAATCAACAAAACAGGTCCCCAGTTATTCTTACCCCTCGCTCCAAGTCATTGATGGCTTTCTGTCTTTTCCTGGCAGCCTCCAGGTCGTTTTCTTCTTGCTGTCTCTCAGCTTCATGGAGCATGTTCAGTTCTTCTCTCAACTTCACCATTTGCTGAATGAGTGGACAGAATGAGCAGAAATTAACAAAACAATCAAGAGAAATCTCAACTAAATAAATATATATGTCATTGGTTTAATCCAACTCCTTAACTGTTAAAAATGTTGCTATAAATGAGACACTGATTTTTCAATCAAAGAATACAAAACGGGGTGGCTAGGTAAAATAGAAATGTCATGTTTTATGATAAAAATGATAAATTGCTGTTAAATTTAAACAGTAAGAATTAAGTAAAAGGATTTTAAAGGTGTGATAAACATTCAAGTCTCGGTTGAACTATGTGGTCCTTGACTGTTCATGTTGTTTTAAATTGCTATGTTCAGGGAAAGTTAGAAATCTCAAACAACAACATGCTTTCAATGAATTAATAAAGCCATTTCAAACGTGTGGCCCTTTCAGTAATGAACAGTATATTGGCAACAGGTTGGGGATCACTGATCCAACAAATAACAAGATACTAAAGCCAACAGGTTGGGGATCACTGACCCAACAAGTAACATGATACTAAAGCATATCGGCCTCACAAAGATGACTGTGAAAAATTCAAAGATTCTCACCTGTCTATGAGTCTCAGCCAGTTCATTCCTCAGACTGTCCTGTCTATCTCTATGTTGCTTCTCCAGGTCTTCCCTCAGCCTCTCTATATCCGTGCCATGTTTTCTGCGCAATGACTCCAGCTGTATTCTTTCCTCGTCCTGCAGCTTTGCTTTCTCTGACGCCACTGAAGCTTCAACCTGTTGTTTGTAAACAATACCAGTAGTGGGACTGAAGCTTTTTATGAAACATGGAATAACATTTTGGTTTAGAGATTTTTAAGAATAACATTCATAAACCATAAGTTGTAAAAATGTTCATAAAAAATATTCCTTTTTAAAGATAACTTAAGACAGCTGTTTGGACAATGTCTCTAAAGCTCACCTGTTTGAACAATGTCTCTAAAGATCACCTGTTTGGACAACTTCACTAAAGCTCACCTGTTTGGACAACTTCTCTAAAGCTCACCTGTTTGGACAACTTCTCTAAAGCTCACCTGTTTGGACAACTTCTCTAAAGCTCACCTGTTTGGACAACTTCTCTCAAGCTCACCTGTTTGGACAACTTCTCTAAAGCTCACCTGTTTGGACAATGTCTCTAAAGATCACCTGTTTGGACAACTTCTCTAAAGCTCACCTGTTTGGACAACTTCTCTAAAGCTCACCTGTTTGGACAATGTCTCTAAAGATCACCTGTTTGGACAACTTCTCTCAAGCTCACCTGTTTGGACAACTTCTCTCAAGCTCACCTGTTTGGACAATTCTCTAAAGCTCACCTGTTTGGACAACTTCTCTAAAGCTCACCTGTTTGGACAACTTCTCTAAAGCTCACCTGTTTGGACAACTTCTCTAAAGCCTTTCTCTTCTCCTCCTCCAGTTTGTCCTGCTCCTCCCTCTGTAAGGCACCGACTTCATCCCTGAGTTTCTGTAGTGCTTTTTCCATCTGTTCCCTGTGGTCACATGAAATTTTACATGAGGCACATTATAGATGTGCTCTTTGCATTACTTTAAAAAATTTTTTTGCTCAATTGTATTATTCTCTAACATCTTTTAATACACTAGGAATATTTGACTGCATTCTACAGTTTCAAACCTAAAATTTCGTTTTATTTTCATGTAAAAGAGAAAAAAATTATTTAACCCACAAAAATCCTTTCACTTAAAAGATTTGTACCGTTAATTATTGTTCTGCACAATTAAATACAGACCATAATTACTGGGGCAATTCTTTTAATTAACAACATCATTTTGTAAACTGGATTTAAAAGTTTCTACTTTCCTAATAAAATATCACACATAAACATCAGTCACCAGCACTTAGACATGGCAGTTACTTACAGACAACTGTGTGAGTTACTTAATGCATTCCATAGCAGGATGTCAGATGTGATGCAAGAATGCAATAAATACAGCCAAGACATATTGAACATTTCCTATGAGTTTTAACAGGGACACTGATGGCACATTTAACATATGGCAGCTTCAAGAGGGTTGTTAGTGGCTACAGAAAATCTAAGGTTACCAGACGATTCGGGACTATACAGTGTTGATGAGACCTGCATGCATCAGCTGTTATGTTCTCTATTCCATGTTATGTTTGTTACTACTATGTCAAATTCCAAAAGTGAGCCAAAGCTTTCGAGTTTATTTACAGACCAGATGAGTAAAATGGTTGTTTTTAATTAACAACTTTTGATTTCATATCCTTAAAGGCAATTAAAAGAACTAGGACTTAGTGGATATTTCTTTAATAAAAGAAAAAAGTGAGGAAATTAATGAAAAATGCAAAAGGAAGTTTAAGCATTGAAATGAATTAACTTTACACAAAGTAAAAAAATTGTTTTTTAAAAAAGAAATGAAATATAGTTGAAATTAATGTGTTATAATTAGTTATGGGAAATAAGCGCACAAAAAAGCAAGCTCAGAAACAAAATGAAACAAAACTGATAAAAGGGGTGGTTAAGCGCGACAACACCATGCAGTATTTCACGTAAATCAACATCAAACGGGGCTTGGCTTTACCGCAGCTCTTTCTCTTTTTGGGCATAAATGGTGTTGTGTTGGCTGCGGAGCTGGGCTAAATCTAGTTCCTGAGATTTTGTTAACTGAGTTTCTTCCTGGGCTTTCGCCAAGTTGAGCTCTTCTTGCAACTTGCTATTAACCAATAGATAAAACATGTTGGTCAAATAACAAAATCAAATCAATTAAAATAGCAAGGATACCCAAAAAAGTCTTACCGGTACTTGAAAAAAAAAAAGTTTTTTTATTCCATTTAAGTTAAAATATCTTTAGAGAAACTGCACACACAAAAATTCAATAACATCGTGCACGAATATTCTCTTATTTCAATTTTCCTGTTCTCATCAATTATTTCTAAACGTGGCAGATGGAGCTAAAAGGTAAGTGGAATGTTCATGAATGTGAGGTTTATAAAGATATAGTAACCAAAGAATGGAGAACTTTAATGAGGCACAAAAACTAATAAAGGGTACAAATCTTTTATCAGCATTGAGAACCTTTGCGGCAAGGTTGGTTGTTATGTTGTGTGATTTTTTTTTTTTGTTGCTAAATAGTTCACATGAGGCACAGTTGAAAATGAAACAGAAAACTAAGTACAAACGGTTACCGTGATGCCTGACTGCTAAATAGTTCTCATGAGGCACAGTTGAAAATGAAA